TTCCACAGTCTGCCCCTGGCCTTGTCTTCACTGATGATATGGAGCTTTTCCATCTTCTCTTTCCACAGATGTAGTCAATTTGATTTCCATGTGTTCCATCTGGCAAGGTCCATGTGTATAGTCATCTGTCATGCTGTCTAAAGAAGGTATTTGAAATGAACAAATCATTGGTTTTTCAGAAATCTATAATGCGTTCTCCAGCATCATTTCTATCTCCAAGGCCCCATTTTCCAACTACTGATCCTTCCTCTTTGCTCCCAACCTTTGCATTCCAATCACCAGTAATGAGCAATGCATGTTGATTGCATGTTTGATCGATTTCAGATTGAAGAAGTTGGCAGTATTCTTCAATTTCATCCGCACTGGCTTTAGTAGTTGGTGCATAAATTTGAATAATAGTGGTATTAGTTGGGCTACCCTAGATTCATTACATTTCTTATTATCCGGACGCTAACTTTTCAAAAAGCTCAGAAACATAAGTGGTTTGGGCTATGGGTATAGCTAATGGGTTGTGATTATCCAAAATACTAAATACGTGCAACATTTTATTTAACTACCTTTGTTAGTAAAATAAAGAAACCCTGGTGACACCATGGTTAAGCACCACACTGCTATCCAAAAGGTTGGCAATTTGAACCCACCAGCTGCTCTGCAAGAGGAAGATAAGGTAGCTAGTCAGCTTCCATAAAGATTGCAGCTGTGGAGGCCCTATAAGGACGTCTACTTGTCTGAGAGGGTAGCTATGAGTTGGTACTGACTTGAGGACAGTGCATTTTACTTGGTGGGTGAGTAACATACAGTATGCTTAACATGTCTTCGAGGATTCTGGATATTAGATAAAATATTTAGGAAATTGCACTTAGAGACTAGAATTTAATACCTGTTAAGCACAGGTTCCAAAATATTTTATGGAAGAAAGGAGAACCATCAATTAACATGATGATCCTGGTGAATTACAAGATCCAGATCATCAAAGACATGTTGTTAAGCATTCAGCTACTAACCAAAAGGATGATAGTTCGAACCAAACAGCCACTCACACATGAGAGAAAGCCATGGCAATTTGCTTCTGTAAAGATTTCAGCCTAGGAAACCTTAAAGGGCAGTTCTACTCTGTCCTACAGGGTCACAATGAGTAAGAACCAATTTGATGGCACTCAACAACAATAAGAAGTTCTACTCATTTCTTGTTGTTGTTGTTGAGTACTGTCGAGTTGGTTCTGACACACAGCGACCCTGTATAGGATTTCTGAGAAGCAACTGATGGGTTTGAACTGCTGACCTTGTGGGCTCATTTCTTACAAGTTGCTCCATTTTAGTATTAAATTCTTCTTGTTCTTGTTGTTAGGTGCTGCCAAGTCAATTCCAACTCACAGAGAGCCTGTATAGGGTTTCTGAGGATGTAAAGCTTCATAGGAGCAGAAAGCTTCATCTTTCACCCACGGAGCAGCTGGTGGGTTTCAACTGCCAACCTCAAGGCCACTTGCTGTTGTTGTTATTAAGTGCTGTTGAGTCAGTTCCAACTGATAGTGAGCCTGTATAGAGTTTCCGAGGAGCAGATGGTGAATTTGAACCGCTAACCTTGAGGTTCAAACCGACCTTACAGTCCAGCACATTAACCCACAGCACCACACCAGGACTAGTCCAATACTTATCCTAAAACACCACCAGCACACCATTAAATTCTTAATAGGCTTGGGGAAAAAAAGTTTAATATATCAAAATGCTATGCATTTTGATTAAGTGTTTCAAGGAGACTTAATGAAACAATAGTTAAGCATTTGACTACTAACCCAAAGACTGGCAGTTTGAAGCCACCCAGCAACTCAGCTAGAGAAAGACCTAGTGATCTGCTTCCATAAAGTTTACGGCCACGAAAACCGTATTTGGCAGTTCTACTCTGTCATATGAGGCTGCTAAGAGTCAGCATCATTTTAACAGCACCCAATGATGACAATTTGGTTAGACTAGGCTAGTTGATGTTCCAGTATTATCATTTCCCCATTTAACTAGTCAACAAATTCCAAGTTTCCTTTGGCAGCCACTTTTTAAATACTCTAATATAGACTCCTGGTGTGGTGCTGTGGGTTAATGCGCTAGACTGACTGCAAAGCCTTTTGAACTGCAAGGTCAGTGGTTCAATCTCATCAGCTGCTCCTTGGAAACACTATACAGGGTCGCTATGAGTCAGAAACCAACAACAACAACAATATAGATTAGAAGGAACTAACATTTAAAGCAAAAACATATCAAGGCAAAAAAAAGAAATATTTTTTTTTTAAAGTAGATCAAAGATATTCATTACATTATTTATTGTGACAAAGAAGGATACAAGTTGATCCTTGGAACAATCATATCAGGTTTATTCTATTTCCATTTGACAACAACAAAAATACCACTTTGAACCAACTCAGATACCCTAAGATCAAACAGCCCGTAAGCAGAACAAGAGCACAGAGCCAACTAGCTCCAAAGTGGACAAGCTCCCTGCTGTCTCCATAATGGGAGAAAGTGGCTCAGTCTCACCTCTGATATGAACTAGACAGGAAGTCTTAAACAAATCGCTTAATTTTTCTGAGCCTCAGTTTCTTCATCTGTTAAATGGAGACTTAACAGTACCTACTTCCCAATAAGTATTAGCCATTTTTATTGTCTCATATCTTAATCTAAATGTTACTCAAAAATGGTCAGACATTTGAATCAGAGTAACACTAGCAACCACAACTTTGCCTTTCTTGATACTAGCTTTTAAAATTTTTACGATAACGCCTATGCCAACTTAAAACTTAAATTTTCACTTGAGTATTCTGACTGTGGGCAGAACACATTACCTGAGGGTCTATGACAGATTCACTCAGAATGGACTGGGTGACAGGGTCTCGATTTAATATGATGGGGTTTTGAGAGGAATCAGGAGCCATTGTTACATTCGGAAACCCTGCAGAAGGAAATAAGCCAAATAAGTTTTCTTTATTTGATTAAATTGACTCACAAGTACTATGCATTGCCGTTGATACATTACTCCTAGGCAATCTTAAATAATAATGTAGCTACAATGATAAAACAGGAGAAATAAGAGACTCTCTGCTCCCATAAAAATTTACAGCCTCAGAAACCCTATCAAGGGTTGCTGTGAGTCGGAACTGGCTTGACGGCACTTAACGACAACACTCATAAAGTCTTACTATATCCTAGATATAGAGATATCAGCAAGCTGCCCAGTTGCAATAATCAGTGACCAAGCCAGGATTTACATTCTAAACTAAAAACTAATGCTATATTTAATGAATTAAGATAAACAAATACATTATATACATTCTGTATATCTAGTAAGAGGAAAAGTGCCTTTAAGAGAAAGACTGATGTTGCTTTAGGTTAAAATTAAGCTTTACTCAAATTATATATAAATGTAAAATACTTCAATCAGATGGTAAGTAATATTAATAAACTGAAAAATTGGTCATGCTTCATAATTATGCAATACAGTAGACTATACCATATTTTAATAGGTAATAACAATTTATCTTTCCTTAACTAAGTAGCTGGTAAAAGTTAGTATTGTTAGTTGAAAGCAATCAAATTGTAATAAATCCAAGCATAACAACCATATATACTATCTACCCTAGAATACCTGTAAATAATACGATGCCTGAGAAAGAATTTTAAATTCTGAATAGTCAGTTGCAGGTTATAATAAATAAGAAAAACAAGCTTTGGTTTGAACTGGATAATTTACCTGTGTGCCTACGAGGAAAATCAACAAATAGATCTTTTGCTGCAGCCATCAAATGATCAGATCTTTCCAGTACATCCTGCATCTGGTATTGATCAGAAAGAATCTAGACATGTGTTAATGATAAGAATTGTTTAGAAAACAAAACAGCAATATAATTTTCAAATCACAAAGGAGAAACCATATGAAGGAATATAGCATGAAGGGAAATATAAGCAATTGCCCACTTTTAAAATCCTTCAGTGGGAGTATCACTAAGTATCAGTTCAAACCAAAAAAGCCAAATCCAGGCCACCAAGTCAGTTCTGACTCACAGCAACCCAACAGGGCAGAGGAAACCTGCTCCACAGGGTTCCCATGTTGTTATCTTTGTGGAAGCAGACTGACACATCTTTCTCCCATGGAGCAGCAGGTGGATTCAAACCACTGGCCTTCTTCCCATTAGCAGCCCAGCTCTTTGACAACTGCACTTCCAGGGCTCCTTTTATGAGGCTAGTACCATGATCAGTGGCTTTCAAATAACTGACTGCACATCACACAAAGAAATAAATATCATGACCTAGTATGCTCACACACAAAGAGTCTTGGTGTAGCACTGCAGGATAAGTGCTGGACTGCGAACTTCAAGGTCCATGGTTCAAACCCAGCAGCGGCTCCTCAGAAAACTTATACAGGGTTGTTACGGGTTAGAACCAATTTGATGGCACTTAACAACAACAACACACACACACACACAAGCATTTATCACTGAAATAGAAGTTTCATAGGAACCTTACCTTACTCCATGAGAACCATTCTGATATTTTCATTTTAATTTCTATTCTATTTCATTTAAGGTGATTTCATAACACACTATAGGTTATATCCATAGCTTAAAAAAACATAATGTAAGATAATGAGTTTGGGGGCATGAAACAAAAAATTTATTGCTCCTGCCTTTATAAACTGTTATTGTTGTTAGGTGCCATCGAGTTGGTACCAACTCATAGCAACTTTATGCACAGCAGAACGAAACACTGCCCGATCCTGGGCCAACCTCACGATTGTTGCCAGGCTTGAGCCCACTGATGCTGCCACTTTGCCAATCCATCTCACTGGGGGTCTTCCTCTTTTTCTCTGACCCTCCACCTTACCAAACATGTCAGTTTTTAATCCTACAGAGGTGAGAACTCCAAAATCAGAGAAGTGCTATTGCTGAAGTACTTTAAACTTCAGGAAATTTCATAGTCGCAATTAAGGACAACCGCCAGAGTAAAAGCAAGTCAACTCTACCCACCACCACCAGATGGCAGTATAGAGTTGAAAGGGAACTCCAATTTTCTGAAAACTGCCCTGTTTTCAACACTGGCTTCAATCCTTAAAACATCTGATTAACTATAAATAGTCTTACCAGAACTTAGTTACTGTTTTAAGGCAGAGAAAAAGAATAATAACCAGGGTCTTACCGTCTCCCCTTTGCCTGTAACCAAGCAGATTGGCTCATTAGTTCTTTTGAGAAACTTGATAAAAATAAGGTCTTAAATTTGTTCCTTCCACAGAGTAAACTTTGGAATGGTATTAAGGCAAAGAGCACATTTGGAGCCAGAAGATTCAGATTCTAGGCCCAGTCAAAGGATACCACGCAAAACCCAGCTTTGTTAAGCTAAGTTTCCAGATGTGCAAATGGTACTATGCCCACTCTGCAATCCCAAAGAGGTTGTTAAGAAGATAGGGACACACTGAAAAACCAACCATACAGCACTATAGAGATGTTTAAGAATGTATTTACAATTTATGTTATGTCATGAGCCAAACTTCTATTCCTGGTTAACCATCCTCCAAGTATACATGATGAAAGCTTAAGAAAGAATATGAATTGATCAGTATAATCTGCCATTATAGTAGGAAAATTATGCAACATATATTTCCTAACGGTAGTTTTAAGAGTTTAGTATCTAAAAAATAAGCACTGACTTTCTATCAAAATAATTACACGTAATGGGTAGAAGGAGACTGTGGAGGAATAACCTTACTGATCATATCGAGACCAGCTATTAATCATATGGAAGTCTCAAGTACAACTGTTGCCCTGTTGTCCTCTGCTAGCTGCTTGGGCAGAAGATTTGAAAGGCCAGACATCAGTGGACTGACTTTCCTTTGCTTTAGTGCTCATCTCTGATAAAGTGCATCCTTCCAATAGGTAAACCCATCTGTATATATTATTTGCTCTGATGGATTTTCAGAGCACAAAGCCAAACTGACAATCATGAATTGTCAAAGATCAGTCAAGTTCCCTGTGAAAGCATCGTAAACCTCTTGCTCCATCCAGCAATTTTGCTCCACAGCAATAGAAACCAGGAGAAAATGGGCGATTATGAAGTGATTTAGGAAGATCACATTATAAATTTGGAATTGACAAAATCTTTGTGAAAGTCTTCTTCTAAGTCAGGACATCTTTGTGATGTGTCTATGGCACAGGTATATCATGCAGCAAATGAAATAGAAGCCTCTAATGGTCAAAACGTTTTTCTCTTCTTTGATGTTAATCTAGGTTCCCAAAGAGCTCCAGGTTTATAGGGGTTGGGGTCGTGAGAGCTCTAACTGTTGTTGTTGTTGTTAAGTGCTGTGCAGTTAGTTCTGACTCATAATGACCCTGTACAGGGTTTCCAAGGAGAGGCTGGTGGGTTTGAACTGCCAACGACCTTGAGGTTATCAGTCCAGTGCTTATCCTACAGTGCCACCCCAGGGTTCATATCAATAATTAAATAGGATACATTTAAGGGGTCTTCTTTTGGTTCGATCACATCCATTTAAAAGACATTGTAAATGTAGTAATAGCAAAATAATAGATACAATCTATTTTGACTCAGCAATTCCACTTCTAAGAATTTATCCGACATACTCAGGCAGTACCCAAATGCATACTTATTGTGGCAAGGCAGGAAACAATCTGTGAGTGGCAGATACTCTTACTTATCTACCAATATCCTGTTTTCCCTTTCTTCGTTCAACATTAAACAAAACTTACAACTTTTAGCCAAGTATAAAGCCCAGCCACCTTGCAAGTGTGAACCACTATGTAAAGAAGAACTGGAGAATGGGATATGAGCCAGGACATCTGGATGGTAAGTAAAAAGGAAGGCATTCTCTTTCCTGCTTCCTGGTGGATGGAAGAAGGAAGCTGGAGCTCCAGGTAGAGGACGCTGGAGCAGCCAACTTGTGCTCAGAGATGGAAGACATGTTAGAAAGGTTAACAAAGACACCTTACCTCTAGACTATTTTATAAAAAAGAGGAACAAAAATTATTTATTTAAACCATCCTATTTTGGGGCCTTTTTTAAACCTGACATTTAAACTATACTCTAATACACAATCTAAATATCTACCAATACAGGTCTGGATATATTATGGGATAGCTACAGGCTAAAGACCAAAGAGCCAAAGTCCTTCTCGTTGAGTACATTTCAACTCCTGGCGACCACATGTGTTATAAACTAGAACAACTCCACAGGATTTTCTTGGCGGTCATCTTTAGAATATATCATTCTTGATATCTATCATATCATACAACTGACACCTCATTTTACTAAGAAACCTCATGAACTCCTCAAAACAAAGGCAAAGTGTGATTTGCAGCTGCATTGAAAAGTCACCCCAAAAGCCAAGTTCATGAGCATCAGCCTGAACAAGGAGCAGCACTACAAGTGTTCCAGCCCAAATGCAGGAACATATTTTGCTGTAATGGCCTCTTATTTTCCATACTGCTTCTTGCTCTACAACATCTAATCGTTGTATTATATGTGACACAGAATTGAGCCAAAAACAAGTGGCTTACTAACTGAATAAGCACACATTTTTTCCCTAAAATACTACTGAGAAAGAGTTAAGGTAACTCATTTGTATATGTAAGGCACTAACTAAACGGGGTCCTGGTGTGACACTGTAGGGTAAACACGGGACTACTATCCACACAAGGTTGGCAGTTCAACCCAGCAGCCACTCCTTGGAAATGCTGACTTGGAACCGACTGTATGGCACTTAAAAACAACAACTATGTACCAAGGACAGTGCTAACCACTTTTTAAGAATTGTATCTCTGGAATTGCATAGCAACACAATTAGGCAAGTAATGCTATTGGCATCTGAAAAATGAGCAAATTGAGGTTGAGATGTTAAGTAAATTGTAAAAGGCCACATGGCTAGTTACCCTAGGGAGATATTCAAACCACTGTACTAAACTCTAATTGCCTCTTTGTTGGGTTTTGGTTATACTGTTTTTTAATCGACATTAATTAACTAGCGCCTTTCCAATGTAAAACAAATGGGGAAAGAAAAGAAAAATCTATTTATTTCTTTATTTTCTTTCAATCTAACTTTAAAGATAATAGGATTTAGTACCTCCTTCATGATAGCCAGTCTCCTTTTCTCAAGAGTAGAAGCTTCTGGTTTCTGCTTCCTCCATTTTCGTCTCAGAGCTTTTTCTTGGAGTTCCCAGTGTACTAATGCTCTATTCTTCGATTTGTGTATTTCATGACGACGCAGCTGTATAGCAGAAAAAAAAACGTTATAATGTTTCAGGAACAGAGACGTTGCCAAAGTTGCCAATTCACATAGTAAGAGCCCCCATCTGTATTCTAGTCTTTCCTTTTTTTTTTTTTTTTTTAATTCTTTCTGGCCCATCATGTATATTCACATGAAAAATATACACAGTCCTCTAAAATGATCAAAAAGGATTTTTTAAAATATCTAAAACTAGTTGTTGTTAAGTGCCCTCGAGTCGGTTCCAACCCATAGCAACCCTGTATAGGGTTTCCAAGGAGCAACTGGTGAGCTTGAACCACCGACCTTTCAGTTCAAATGGTTTTGCAGTCTGGCGCATTAACCCACAGCACCACACCAGGTAGGACTGCCTAAAAGGTAAATTAAAAATATTACTTTATATTTTCTTTGTACAACATTATCAAATAAATCAGTGTTTTTCAAGCAGCAGATTAAGACTCATTTGTTGTTTTGGTTGTTAGGTGACAAGCCGGTTCCAACTCGTAGAGGCCCTGTGCACAGTAGAGAGCAGGACTGCACCACCTGTCCTGTGACGTCCTCACAATTGTTTGGTTCCACTGTTGCAGCTGCTGTGTCAATCCACCTCCTTGGGGGGCTTCCTCTTTTTCCATGATCTTCCACTTTACCAAGCATGATATCCTTTTCCAGGTCCTCCTGATATTATAACAAAAGTCCATAAAACCAAGTCTTGCCATTCTTGCTTCTCAGAAGCATTCTGGCTATATGTCTTCCTAGACACATTAGCTTGTTCTGCTGGCAGTCCAGCATACTTTCAATATTCTTTGCCAGCACCATAATTCAAATGCATTGACTCTTCCTCTGTCTTCCTTACTCATTGTCCAGCTTTCTCCTATGTATATGGTGGGGGTGGGTGATTATGTTCTGTGGTGTCAGTTCAGACTCATAGCAACCCTATACAAGGTTTCCAAGGCTATACATCTTTACGGGAGCAGAAAGCCTCATTTTTTTTCGGCAGAACAGCTGGTAGTTTCAAACTGCTGACTGCAGCACGACTCGTAATCATTACCCTACCAGAGCTCCTTCACATGCATATAAGAAAAATTAAAATACCATGGTTTGGGTAGATACACCTTGGACCTCAAAGTGATGCTTACAAGAGGTCTTATGCAGCAATTCTGCCCAATGCAATAATACACCGTTTGATTTCTTCACTGCTGCTTCCATAAGTTTTTTTTTCTATTTGGATCCAAGTAAAACAAAATCCTTGACAACATCAACTTTTGTCCATTTATCATCATGTTTTTATTGGTCCAGTTCTGAGTAAATTTTGTTTTTCTTTTCACTGAGCTGTAATCCATACTAAAGGCTGTATTCTTTAGTATGGATCGCCAAGTGTTTTAAGTCCTCTTCACTTTCAGCAAGCAAGGTTGTGTCATCTGCATAGTTCAGGTTGTTAATGAGCCTTCCTACTACACTAATGCTATGTTCTTCTTCATATACTCCAGCTTCTCAGATTGTTTACTCCGCATACAGAATAAGTAAGTATGGTGAAAGGATACAACCCTGACACACACCTTCCCTGATTTGAAACCACAGACCTCTTGGTCTATGTATAGGTTCTGATTGAGCACAATTAAGTGATGTGGAATTCCCATTCTTCACAATGCTATATACAGTTTGCTATGATCCACACAGTCAAATACCTTTGTATCGTCAATAAAACATAAGTACATATCTTTCGGGTATTCTTTTTCAGCCAAAACCCATGTGACCTCAACATGATATCCTGGCTCCATGTTCTCTTCTGAACCCAACTTGAAATTTCTGGCAGCTACCTATGGATATACTGCTACAACCTCTGTTGAATTATCTTCAGTAAAAGAAACTCCATACATCTGTCAGTTTCTTTTGCTGTGGTGGTCTTCATGTTGCTATGATGCTGAAAACTATGCCACTGTTATCCAAGCTGGACAGAGTTCAATGAAGTTTAACGATTAAGAACACACTAGAAAGAAGGAACAGGTGGCCCATTTCTGAGGGATTCATCACTAAAAACCTATGAATAGCAGCAGAACCTTGTTCTATATAGTGCCAGAAGATGAGCCCCTCAGGTTGGAAGGCATTCAAAACACGACTAGGGAAGAGCTGTCTTCTCAAAGCAGAACTGATCTTAATAAAGTGGAACAAAGCTTTCAGGACTTTCATTCTATAATGGGGTGCGACTACAATGAGAACAGCTGTAAATACCCATTAATAATCAGAATGTGGAATGTAAAAAGTATGAACGTAGAAAAACTGAAAGTTGTAAAAAATGAAATGGAGCACATAAAGATTAATAGTCTAGGCTTTAGTGAGTTGAAATGGATGGTACTGGTCATTTTGAATCAGATAATCATATGGTTTATTTATTTAGTTAGGCTGGAAATTATCCATTTCACAGGGATGGTATCACATTCATCGCCAAAAAGAGCATATCAAGATCTACCTTGAAGTACAATGCTGTCTGTGACAGGGTATTATCTCAGCTCTATAAGGAAGACCAGTTAATACCACTATTATTCAACTTTACAAACCAACAATCAAAGCCAATGCTTAAGCAATTGACTAATTCTACCAACTTCTTCAATCAGAAACTTATCAAATATGCACTCAAGATGCATTGATCGTTACTGATGATTGGAATGTGAAAGTCAGAAACAAAGAGGAGTGATCAATAGTTGGAAAATATGGCCTTGGTGATACAAATGACACTGGAGATAGCATGAGAGAACTTTGCAAGATCAATTCACTGCAAATATTTTCAAGAACATAAACACTGACTATACACATGGATCTCACCAGATGGAATATACAGGAATCTAATTGACTTCAACTGTGGGAAGAGACGATGGATAAGGTCAGTATCATCAATCAAAACAGGGCTAGGGCCAATTACAGAACAGACCATTAATTACTCATATATGCAAGTTCAGGCCAAAGCTGAAGAAATTAAAACGAGTCCACCAGATCCAAAATACAACCTTAAATATATCCCATGAATTTAGAGACCAACCCTAAGAACAACTTTGACGCATTGAACATTAATGACCGAAGGCCAGAAGAGTCAAGGGATGATATCAAGAACACCATCCAAGAAAAAAGCAAACGATCATTAAAAAGAAAAGACCAAAATGGATATCAGAAGAGACTCTGAAACTTGCTCATAAAGGTAAAGTAGCTAAAGCAAATGAAAGAAATGATGAAGTAAAAGAATTGAACAAAATATTCAAAGAGCCAATTCAAGAAGACAGAGTAAAGTAGTACAGTGAAATAGGTAAAGACCAAGAGTTAGAAATCCAAATGAAAGAACACACTCAGCATTTCTCCGGTTGTAAAAACTAAAGAAAAAAATCTAAACCTCCTAACCCTGCCTGGAGGGTCTTACTGTTAGGGCCAAGAGTGGAAAACACTGGCTTCAGAAAACAAACTGTCTCTAGGAAGCAAAGTGGACATGCCAGTCAGTTTTGCTGCTCTTCCTGTCAGCAATGGCTATAGAAACTTAATTTAAAAGACTCCCACACATGCATAGAATATTTCAGGCTGTGAAGGAGCTAGCTAAAATGGGAGGTTAGCAAGTCCCAGCAATTTAATCCAGCCAGAGAAGACACTGGAATTTCTGAAGCACTGGAGATGAGAGCTTTACCCTCCTTGAGAAAAGCTTGGAGACATATGGCACTGCAAATAATTAACTGTGATATTCTGGAGACAAGATACAGAGCAATTTCTACTTCCTCCTGAGGGAAGAGAGAAGGAACAACTGAGCTGAGTCTTGAAGGATGCACAGTTGATTTCATGCGACTAGACCCTCCATGAAGCCAGGGTCATCTGCTGAAGAAACAAGTCTGAGAAGTGCTATCACTTCAGCTACCTGGAAACCCAAGGAAGTTAATGCTGTGATGATCCCATTCTGGAGTAGAGCCTTCTAAGGTTTAAGGGTAAAAGTGACTCATGATTATCTGAAAACCATGGAAACAGCCAATGGAAGAAGAGTTGAAAGCAACTTCACCACTCCACTCAAAACATGGTTTTCTTTTCCCCTCGGTGGGGGTGGAAAAAAGCTCCTCAGTTTGACCTTTGTCTTCAGCTTCTGGAAAATAGCCCTTAGAATTTCTCAAGCAATCCAAGTGTCTATGTTTTACAATATAATATATGTCACTATATGAGGGGGCTTCAAAAACCTCATGGAAAAATGGAACTAAAAGATAATGGAATTTTTCCATGAACTTTTGAAAGCCACTTATAAAGTATACATAAAAATTGTAAAAAAAAAAATCTAAATCTTAGCTTGAAATACTGAAGGATTCTGTGGGTATAATACTGAACAATGCAGGAACTAGTAAAAGAGAAGATGGAAGGCAGGCACAGAGTCACTGAACCAAAAAAAATCAGTCAGCCTAGTATTGCTACAATAAAAGCCACATAGACCAATGGAACAGAATTGAGAATCCAGAAGTAAATCCATCCACATACAGTCAGCTGATCTTTGACAAAGGGCCAAAACACATGAAATGGGAAAGAGAAAGTCTCTTTAACAAATGGAACTGTCAAAACAGAAGAATGAAACAAAACCCATAGCTCACCTCATATACAAAAACAAACTCAAGATGGATTAAAGAACTAAATGTCAAATGTAGAACTATAAAGAAATACTTAAGACAAACTTAGTGGCCCTAATACATATCATAAATATACTATCAAACCTAACTGAAAACACACAAGCAGGAGAAGACAAACTACATGACTGGGACTTCCTAAAAATTAAACACTTATGTACATCAAAAGATGTCACCAAGAGTAAGAAGAGACTGAGGAACTTTTTGATAATGACCTTATCATACAAGGGACTAATCTCTAAAATTTATTGAAAACCTCAACACCTCAACAAGAAAAAGACAAAGAATCCAATTTAAAAATGAACAGAGACATGGACAGGGACTTCACCAAAGACATTGAGGCAGCCAACAAAACATATGAAGAACTGCTTGTCATCATTAGCCATTGTTGTTGTTGTTGTTAAGTGTCATCGAGTTGGTTCCAACCCAGAGTGACCCATGTAGGGTTTACAAGAAGCAGCTAGTGAGCTTGAACCACCGACCTTGCAGTTCAAATGGCTTTGCAGTCCGGTGCATTAACTCACAGCACCACACCAGGCACCTTCATTAGCCATCAGAGAGATGCAAATCAAAACAACCATGAGATATCGTCTTGCCCTTGCACTACTTGCAAATTTCAAAGAAACAGAAAACAACAAATGTTGGTGAGGGTATGAAGAGACCGTGACCCTCCTACACTGCTAGTGAGACTGTAAAATGGTACAATCACTGTGGAAAACGGTACGGCACTTCCTAAAAAAAATGGAAATAGAATATTGTATGGCCCAGCAATCTCTCTCCTTGGTATACATCCTCAAGAAATAAGAGCCATAACACGAATAGATCTAAACACACCTATGTTCATCTAAACACACCTATGTTCATCATTGCACTATTCACAGTAGCAAAAAGGAGACAGTCAAAATTTCCATCAACAATGCTGAAGAATAACGATTGTGAGGCTGACACAATACTGGGAAGTGTTTCATTCTGTTGGCCATAGGGTAGGTATGAACTGAACCAATTCGAAGTCACCTAGCAAAAAAATGACTAAAACCAATGACAGACAATGCCAAGTGTTGCTAAAGATGTACAGAAATTGGAACCCTAATACACTGCTGGTAAGATGATAAAATCATACAGCCATTTCTTCAAAACAATTTGGCAGTCCCTTAGAATATTAAACATCTGCTCCAACAATTCCACTCCTACATATACCCATGAGAAACAAAACTGTGTCCACACAAAGACTTGTAAACAAAGGTTCATAATAGTATTAATAATAAACAAAAAGCAAAAACTCAAATGTCCATCAACTGATGAATGGGTAAACAAATGTAGTACATCCATACAACGGAATATTATTCAGTAATAAAAAGGAACGAAGTACTGATACATGGTACAAGAAGCTACTCACAAAAGATCACACATATTCCATGAATCCATTAATATAAAGCATCCAAAGTAAGCAAACCCATAAAGACATAAAGTAGAACAGTGGTTGGGAGGGACTTGGGGAAGGGCAAAATAAGGAGTAACTGCTAATGTATATGGGGTTTCTCTCTGAGGTGATAAAAAATGTTCTGGAACAGTTTGATCCATTTCTCAGAGGTTGGACTTCTTAAAACACTCTTATCTGTTTTATGGATAACACTCATAGATAGTGATGATGGCTGTTTTATGGATAACACTCATAGATAGTGATGATGGCTGCACAACCCTTTAAGTATACTAAAAACCTCTAAGTTGTATACTTTAAAAGAGTGAGTCATTGTTGTGAAGTGCTGTCCAGTTGGCTCTGATTCATAGTGACCCTATACACAACAGAATGGAACACTGTCCAGTCCTGTGTACAAAACTGTACATAACAGAACAAAACGCTGCTGAGTAAGTCATAAGGCATGTGAGTTACATCTCAATAAAGCGGATGTGAAAAAAGCCTATAAAAGAAAGGAAGAAAAAAAATTAATAGGACTCCAAGTGGAATTAAGATACAAATAAAATATAGATAGGTAGAGCGAAAGGTAGAAACCAATCCAAGTAAAGAAAATAGCAAGAATAGACGGTCAAAAGTAGAAATGCACATGGCATGTTCAAGGGACAATAAGGACTAAATCATTACAATAATTAGATCAGTGTGTTGTTAGGGAAGTAATAGCAAATACTGCTATAGATTAGATTATTTTGTTGTTGTTGTTAAGTGCCATTGAGTCCCATAGCAAACCTGTATAGGGTTCCCAAGGAACAGCTGGTGATCTTGAACCACGACCTTGCAGTTCAAACGACCTTTACAGTCTGACACATTAACCCACAGCACCACACCAGGACTCCTAGATTATATTTGTTGTGTTGTTTAAGTGCTGTCAAGTCGATTCCAACCCATAACTGCTCTGTATAGAGTTTCCAAGGAGCAGCTGGTGAGCTTGAACCTCCAACTTGCAGTTCAAATGACTTTGCAATCTGACACATTAACCCACAGTGCCACGCCAGGACTCCTAAATTATATCATTTTATTTTGTTAAGTGTCATTGAGTCAGTTCTGACCTATAGCAACCCCATATAGGGTTTCTGAGGGTTTAAATCTATCGAGAACAGAAAGCCTCATCTTTCTCCCTTGGAATGGATGGTGGGGACAAACTGTGCACCTTGTGGTTCGCAATCCAGTGCTTATCATATGAAGCCACCATGCTCCCATTAGATTAATCGATAGATACATAGATAAAGACAGATAGGTATGTACAGGGCAATTACTAAAAGATTTGGACTATAAATCTAGCTCATCTAATGAAAATCTAATAAAGCTAAGTGACAATCTTAGCTAAAATAAGGAAGTTTACAAGATATAAATTTGTATTTAATATAAGCATGATTGTTGTTGTTAGTTTTCCAATCAACGCCAACTCATGACAATCCTGTGTAGAACACAACAAACTGCTCCCTGGTCCATGACATCCATCTGAATCCATTATTGTGGCTATTGTGTAGTAGTGCTTTCCAACCTTAGGGGATCATCCTCCAGCGCTCTACAGGACAATATTCTGTTGAGAGCCATAATTTTCAGAAGTCCATTACCAGGTCTTTCTTCCTAGTCTGTCTTAGACTGGCAGCCCTGCTGAAACCCTTTCACCATGAGTGATCCTTATGGTAATTGAGATACTTGTAGCAGAGCTTCTAATATCATAGCAACACACAAGCCACCACAATAGGTTACACTGACAGACAAGTGGACACTATACTAAGGGAATAGTCCATTATCTTTTCATTGAAATTTTCTGTGAAATTTTTGATGCCCTCTTGTATAAGCATAAAGGATTAAATATTATTGAACAATTTTCAGGAACTTCTATTCTGAAGGGTATAAACCAAATATATTCAAAAAAAAAAAAAAAAATAGACCAAATTCATTAACTTTTGATATTAAACTTACTAGATCTTCAGGAGTTGCTCTATGGACTGTTAAATCATTCACGGTATTCTGAAGGAGAAAAAAAAGAAAAAATTTTTTCTTAAAGAATAAAGGGCACATGGAACCCCATTCTGCTCTACTGCATATTGAGCCCCATGCAGAGCCCAATTTGAATGACTAGGGCCATGTCACCAGGTCTATTGCCCCAAAACAATGTTACAATGTGACAGGATCCCATTTAGACTTACATCCCATTCTTGCTTCACTGAAGATTGCTTCTTCTTTACTTTCAGTGTTTTTCTTCCTCCTCCCCGAGGGTAGTAACGGTTCACTCTCACAAAGGACATCTAAGGGTAATAATCAACATTAAAATTTTTAAATACAAGAAAAAGGAAAAAGAAAAAAGTGTTAACATGTAAGCATCTGTAACAAAGGGCATAGTGTGGCACTGTAGGAAAAGCACTGGACTGCTAACTGCAAGGTCAGTGGTTCAAACACAAGAGATGCTCCTTGTAAAACCTATACAAGGTGGCTATGAGTTAGAACAACAACCAAAATACTTAGTTCTCTTACTTCACCATTAATTTATGAAAAGTTGACGCTGATAACAATAATAAGAATAACAAATATTTGCTTAATAAAGAACTCTAGGAATACAGATGGTGGTGGTTGTGGTTATGTGCCGTGAAGTTGGTTCCAACTCATAGCGACCCTGTACAGGGTTTCCAAGGCTGTAAATCTTCACGGAAGTTGAAAGCCTCCTCTTTCTCTCGCGGAACAGCTGGTAGTTTTGAACTGCTGACCTTAAAGTTAGCAGCCCAATTCATTAACCATTATGCTACCAGAGGAATACAGATAATAATATCTAAAGCAAGACTACAACAATACTTTTAAATTTGGTCAAACACCAATTATATGTGAATAATGAATACAAGGAGGAAGGAGAAGGCAAAGGGAGTTAGAGTTTTATTTTTCAATTTCTAACATTTTATTTTTATTTGATCTAAAGAAATTAATACTAGTCAGTGTGCATTTATCAAGGCAAAATGTTCAGTTTCAGGATGTAGGCACAGAGAAAATAAATGACGCTCTTATTCACATGATTAACCAAACTTTAAAAATATATATACCATTAGTTTTCCTAATGATTAATTATCACACATGGAGGGAAAAAAAAACCAATTTACTTCAATGTAAAACTTCTCTTTAAATGAAAAATGAATAAAACAAAAACGTATATTTACAGGGTCCCAAAATCATGTTTGAACTTCTCTTTTATAACATAAAATATCAAAAAGTCCTGATCTATGAATAAAAAAATAAATAAATCCCCACCAATTAAGACAAAGAAACAACTAAACCGAATATATTTTTTTATTAAGAAACCAAACTGGAATACTACCAAAATAAGAGGTTCTAGCATTCACGTAATAAATTCACAAGCACAACCAGTATGCTTTGTGAGTTAAACAGTTTGGTCCATTCCTCAGAGGTTGGACTTCTTAAAACACTCTTATCTGTTTTATGGATGAACCACTACCAGGTACAAACACACTTACCTTAAAATAAGACAGCTAAACTTTGGAGAACAATGAGATATGGCACCATTTCTAGTATCTCTCTCAGATGACAATAAATAGTTGTTGTTGTTGTTAAGTACCATGGAGTCGGTTCTGACCCATAGCGACCCTGCGCAGGGTTTTCGAGGCAGTAAATCTTTACGGGAGCAGAAAGCTTCATCTTTCTCCCGCGGAGCATCTGGTAGTTTTGAACTGCTGACCTTGCGGTTCACAGCCCGATTCGTAACCACTACGCTGCCAGAGCTCCTTTAAATAAGACAGCTAAACTTTGGAGAACAATGAGATATGGCACCATTTCTAGTATCTCTCTCAGATGACAATAAATAGGGTGGTTATTAATGCTGAACTAGAATTTGTAAATTTCCAACATTTGCTTCACTCTACTAAAACAAGCAATATTAAGGACTCTGGACTAAATATTATACAAAATTACAAAACAGCCTATAGTTCCTGAGCACTAGGATTTATAATATATACATATCCTGGTGTGGCACTGTGGGATAAAGCAGTAGACCACAAGGTCGGTCTGAACCACAAGGTCAGCAGTTCAAACTTATCAGCTGCTCCTTGGAAACTCTCTATATAGGGTCACTGTGAGTTGAAACCAACTCGATGGCACTTAACAACAACAAATATATTATTAACTTTCAGATATTTCAATACAGATTGTGGGCAATGGATAGCTTCTTTTCACTCTAGCCTTAGTAAGTTGCAAAAGGACATTTTTCTTTTGAAGAAATAAAATAATTCTTCTACTTGATAATGTATTATGAATAACAGGAAGAATTTGCAGGGAGAGGAATGGAATGTCACTGGAATTTAAAATACCTGCAATGTAGAAAAGAGATGTGATCTCAGGACTAATAAAGTACGTTAAAGGTCAGACCTAAAGTGGCTCAGACTTTCTGAGTCCATGTCTTGCTTACTGAAAAAACACTCATTGTTATTATTAGATGCCATCTGGTGTAGCACTGTATGATAAGCACTGGACTGCTAACCATAATGTTGTTTGAACCCACCAGCCACTCCCTGGAAACCCTATGCAGGGTCACTGTAAGTTGGAACTGACTCGATAGTACCTAACAGTCAGTTCTGACTCATAGCAGCCCTGTGTATGAAACACTGACTGTACCATCCTCACAATCTTTGACATATTTGAACCTATTATTGCAGCCACTAAGTCAATCCATCTCCTTGAGGGTCTTGCTCTTTGCCATGGAACCTCTACTTTCTGCCTCTACTGTTCTTGTCCAGGGACTGGTCCCTACTGATAATGTTGTTGTTGTTAAGTGCCGTGGAGTTGGTTCCGACCCATAGCGACCCTGTACAGGATTTCCAAGGCTGTAAATCTTTACAGGAGCAGAAAGCCTCATCTTTCTCCCGCGGACCGGCTGGTAGTTTCAAACTGCTGACCTTAAGGTTCACAGCCCGATTTGTAACCACTATGCTACCAGAGCTCCTGATAATACGTGAGATAAAGTCACTTCTCCTGAGCATTCTGGTTGTGCTTCTTCCAACACAGATTAGTTCATTCTTCTCAAAGTCATGACATATTCAATATTCTTTGCTAACACCATAATCAATTCATTATCCATTTTCCACGAGCATGACATGACTGAAAACACACCATAGCAAGCCATGAACAAGATGCATTTTAGTCCTCAGAGTAACATCTTTAATTTTTAACACTTTAAAGAGGTCTTTTGAATCAGAATTTGTACAATACATTAATTTCTTAATGTAGCAATATTTTTTATTTACTGTCATATGTGTATGTGTGTGTGTACATACACACCCGAAAAGACATCAAAGTTTGTGAAAGAATGGAATTAATAGATAATACATTTTTCCATGAATTTTTGAAACTCCCTCATACACATCTATACACACACACATAATATATAAAATCGATTACTGTCAAGTTGATATTGTTGTTAGGTGCTATCAAGTCAGTTCTTAGCAACCCTGTATAGGGTTTCCAAGGAGCATCCAGTGGGTTTGAGCCACTGACCTTCCAAGTAGAAATCCAGTGCTTATTCTAAAGCACTACACCAAGACTCCTATAAGGTTTTCAAAGCTATAAAGCTTTACAGAAACAGATAGCCACACCTTCTTCATCTAAGCAGCTGGGTTTGAACCAATAATCTTTCAGTTAGTAGCTAAGCTCTTAACCACTGTGCCACCAAGAAGGCTCTCTCTGTATATACATATAATATATAATGTACATAATTAATAAAGCAAGCACGTATTCGATGCTGAGAACTTTACATTTAATCCTACAACCTCTATGAGGTGGGTACTGAGCATGGTAGTGAAGAGTACGGAGTCTGACAGCAGACTGTAGTCACATACCAGCTTTGCCAATTACTATAAAGTGACTCTAATTGAATGTCAAGGAGCTTGCAACGTGGGTCTAATACATTCTAAGTGCTGTTTAAAAACTGATGGTGTCAATGGCAACAACAACAATGATTAGATACCTTTCTCTAATGAGAAAATTAGAGTGTAGTAGGATTACATCTAAGTCACACTTAATTGACAAGTTGGGAACTGGCACTCAAATCCAGGGGTTAAAAATCCCATCAACCTTAATCCTAAAAAACTAGTCATGAATCTAACGCATGCAAAGGCTTACAAATAGTCAAAAGCAGCCATCAACAGGAACATATTCTTGTTTCTTCCATAGATGGAACTCTTAACTACTGTTGTTAAGTGCTGTCAAGTCGGTTCCAACTCAGTGACCTATACAGTATTCCCAAGGAGTGGCTGGTGACCTTGAACTGCTGACACTGCAGTTCAAACCGACTTTGCACTCCAGTGTGTTAACCCACAGCGTCACACCAGCAATATCAAAAGTTTAGGAAAATAACAAAATAAGCTATTTCTAAAGCAATGGTGACCTCTGATAGTTAATATAATGTATGTAGCTAAACAGAAGTCTTTCTTTTTCTAGTTTAATCAAAGTGATATAAAAATTGTCATTGTTGTTCAGTGCCGTTAAGTTGGTTTTGACTCATAGTGACCCTGCAGAGGGTTTCTCAGACTTTTTAGATCTTTGTGGGAGCAGAAAGCTCATCTTTCTCCTGCAGAGCAGCTGGTGCGCTCGAACCACCAATCTATGGTTTGCAGTCCTGTGCTTATTGTGTGGAGCCACGGTGCTCCCAAAACTAATATTATTGTTGCTAGGTACCGTCAAGTCATTTCCAACTCACAGCAACCCTGTATAAGGTTTCCGAGGAGCAGCTTTTGGGTTTGAACCACTGACTTTGCAGTGCAAACCAACCTAACAGTCCAGTGCATTAAAATTAATACAGACATTACCAATAATGGAGACTTATTTTTCTTAACTAAAAACCAGAATTTATGGTCTAATGAAGAAATGCTGTGTCACTGTTGAGGCTAGAGAGCTATAGTTTACAGGTTGAAATGTGAGCTTGTAGTGACATTCTGACAGTTTCTAGTGCTATGTAATCACAATAATCAAATCAGCACAACCCAGAAAATCCAGACTTATTTAAAGAAAACATAAGATACTTCCTTGTTGCTATTCTTTTCTCCTTTTTTTCTCAGGTGCCCGCAGAGCCCTCCTCACTTATTAATCAAGGATCTTCACCCAGTCCTATCCCCAGCCTTTTTGTCTTTCTATTGGGCACCCTCTCCCCTCATCCAACAATTGTTTTTAAGAGCATACCACATGCCAGACACTAGCTGGGCACTGGCATACAACAGTTGTTGTTAAGTGCCATGGAGTCAGTTCTGACTCATAG